GAGTAGGGTGTGTGTGAGCACTTGGGGGAAGCTGACGCTTACTAGAGTTGGGTGCCTCTGGGCATATAATTCAGGGAGCTGTGTTTTCAGACTCATGGAGCTGAAACTGAATGCCCTTGGATTGAGGCTCCAGTGGAGTGGTATGCCCCTTTGGGCATTTATTATCAGACATGAAAGAACTTTGTAACATTTCATGATAAACAACTAACCTGAGCATTTCTCAATGGCATTGCAAAGTGTTAACTTTTTAAATAAACCCTTTGGTCACTAATTTTGTCTGTGGGGTCAGTATGACCATTACAATGGATAGTAAAAACTAGAAAGGTAAAATAGAGAACACTAATTAAAACAACTCAGGCACCCACTTAATAATCTAAAAAAGGAAACACTGATAATATTAAATTCCCAAGGCTCTCAATTCTTTAAACCAAAACCGAACTAAACCTACAGCCATGGAAGTGATTCCAATGCACAGTGACCCTATCTATATAAGGCTTCTGAGACTAAATCTTCGTGGAATACAGTCTCATTGCAGAGTAGCTCGTGGGTTTGAACCTTGGACCTTGTGGTTAGAAGCCTATATTTAACCAGCCAACACCAGGGATCCTATCAGTTCTTTAAGGATGAACTAAGTGGCTGGTATCATCACTTAGAAAAGTCTCTTGAACTTGATGGAGTTTATATTGATTGAAAAATGAAGTTTATATTTTTTTCACCTTGATTTTTTTCATCTTAATCTTTTAAGTAAACTTGTCCATGAAATTTTTGAAGATCCCTCACATAATCTGGCCCCTTATTTCTTTGCATCTTTTACTCTGCTCCTCTTCACTCATTCCAACCATATTTTGTCTTTACTCACAGGTTACCTTCTCTGTAAGCCTATTATCCACCTCAAATCACTTATTCTTTTCCTTCTTTGTTTTTATCCAGACTACTTATCAGCACCTAACACACAGTATCATTTATTTTTTCATTGTAAGGGGGCTTTAAAAAGTTCATGAAAATAATGAAGTACAATGGACATTTTCCCAGACCTTTTTGAAGCCACCTCAGATATCCAACATCTTTAAGTACATGTTGTTGTTGAAATTTAGGTGCCATCCAGGCGGCTTCAACCCATTTCAACACTAAACACAACAGAACAAAACACTGGATAGTCCTGCGCCATCCTCACTATCGTGCCCATCCTGAACCCATCGATGCAGCGACTGTGTCAATCCATCTCATTGAGGGCCTTCCTCTTTCGCTGCCCCTCCACTTACCAAACATGATGTCCTTCTCCAGGGACTGGTCTCTGCTGACAATATACCCACAGTATGTAAGACAAAATGTCATCATCCTTCCCTCTAAGAAGCACTCTGGCCTTAGTTCTTCCAAGGCAGATCAGTTTGTTCTTTTAACAGTTCATGGTACTTTCAATATTTTTCACTAGCTCAATTCAAATGCATTGATTCTTCTATAGTCTTCCTTATTCAATGTCCAACTTTCACGTGCATATGACAGAACAGAGAAGACCATGGCTTGTGCCAGGAGCACCTTAGTATTCAAAGTAATTTCCATGCTCTTCACTGTTCTAAAGATGTCTTGTACAGATTTCCCTGATGCAATACGTCTTTTGATCTCTTGACTGCTGCTTTCATGAGCACTGATTGTGGAACCAAGTAAGGTGAAATCCTTGACAACTCCAACCTTTTCTCCATTTATCATGATGTTGCCTGCTGGTCCAATTGTGATGATTCTGGTCTTCCTTACACTGAGTTGTAATCCACACTGAAGGCTACTTGAGGTAGTTTATTGTGCCAACCTGGCTGATAAACATATGCGGGGTTAATTGAAGGGTGGAGAGATAAATGGCTCAGTAAGCCTCGCCTTTTGAGTTCTCAGGTCTCTTCCTTTGTGACTGTCAGACCAGGGTGCAGCTGCCTTAGCCAGTTCCCTGCTTCAGCTCGCAAGGCCCACTTCCTACAAGACATCCCTGAGGAGAAGCCACATAGACTTACCCCGATGCAGCCCTGGATGCTGGAGCAGCGACGTGGAGACCCCTGCCAGCTCGGAGATGCTTACACACTCACTGATTTGGCTTTCCTCCTGCAGTCGGCATCATAGTGTTTTGTGAGATGGAGGAGAACATCATCAGCATACCACAGGTTGCTAATAAGCCTTTCTCCAATTCTGATGCCACTCTCTTCATATAACTCAACTTCTCTGATGATGTGCTTAGCATATAGATTGAACAAGTATGGTGAAAAGATACAATCCTGATGCACACCTTTCCTGATTATAAACCATGCAGTATTCTCTTGTTCTGTTCATCCAAAGGCCTCTTGGATCCATGAGTGTTCTGGAATTCCCATTCTTCTCAAAGTTATCCACAGTTTATTATGTTCCACACAGTCGATGCCTTTGCAGTCAACGAGATACAGGTAAACAGCCCTGGGGTAGTCTCTACTTTCAGTCAAGATCCTGCTGACATCAGCAATGGTATCTTTTGTTCCACATCCTCTTATGTCTCCAGCCTGCATTTCTGGAAGCTCCCACTCAATGTGCTGTTGCAACTGTTGAAGGATGAGCTGGTACAAAATTTTACTTGTATGCGCTATCAATTATATTGCCCTACAATTGGAGCATCTTGTTGGGTCATTTTTCTTTGGAATGAACACGAATATGGATCTCTTCCAGTCAGTTGGCCAGGTAGCTGTCTTCCAAATTTCCTAGCATAGACCAGTGAGTGCTTCCAAGGCCTCCTCAGCCTTCTGAAACATTTCTATAGGCGCTCCACCAAGTCTTGGAGCCTTGTTTTTGACTAATGCATTTAGTGTAGCCTGAACTTCTTCCTTTAGCACCAATATAATTATAGTTCAATACAATTAATGTTCAATTTTTTATGCACCAACCATAAAATCTAGTGATGAAGGTTCTTCCTCAAAGGCTCCCTCCTGAAATGGGGGTCTGTTGACTAGATCTTTTGGATACTTTGACACTATTTTTGCCATCTTCTCTTGATGCTTCCTGCATCATTCAGTATTTTGCCTCTAGAATTAAAATTCAATGCTTAAATGATTTCTTGAGGCCTTTCGGTTTCAGATATGCTATGCATGTTCTTCCCTTTTGGTTTTCTAATTCTAGGTCCTTACACATATCACTATATTTGGCTTTGTCTTCTCGAGGTACCCTTTGAAATCATCCTTTCTTCCATTTACTTTAGCTACTCCATGATTAACAGCACTTTCCAGAGTCTCTTCTGACATCCATCTGGATCTTTTCTTCTTTTCCTGTCTTTTTAATGACCTTTTTTTTCGCTGTCTTCATGATTGACGGTCTCGATGTCCTCCCACAGCTCATCGGGTCATTAGTGTTCAGGCATCCGATCTATTCTTGAGATGGTCTCAAAATTCAGATGGGGTAGACATAGGTCAAATTTTGACTCATGTGGACTGTTTTGTTAATTTTCTTCAGATTTACTTGAACTTACTTCTGAGCAATTGATGTTCTCTTCCAGTCAACCCCTGGTCTGGTTTCAGCTGCTGATACTGAGCTTCTCCACTGTGTCTTCCCACAGATACAGTCAATTTGATTTCTATGCCTTTCATCTGGTAAAATCCATGTGTAAAGCTGTCTTTTGTGTTCTTGAAAAAGGTATTTGTTATGAACAAGGAGTTGGCATTTCAAAATTCTATCATACGCTCTCCAGCTTCATTTCTATCACCAAGTACATATTTTCAAATTACTTTTCCTTCCTCTTTGTTTCCATATTTTACATTCCAATTAACAATGCACTTTGATTGCGTGCTCACCCAATTTCTGGCTGAAGTCGTTGGTAGAATTCTTCAATTTCTTCATTACAAACTTTAATGGTTGGTGCATAAAAGTTGAACAATAATTTAATGATGAGATTTGAAGGTGGATTGATAGAACTACCCACAGGTAGCGCTACACCTTATGATGGATTTAGCAAGATACTGTCTGACACTGAATGGCACACCATTCCTCTTGATTGTGTTATTCCAGGCATAATAAAGATTTATATGATTTTTCTGATTCAAATTGGCCAGTACCAGTCCATTTCAGCTCACTAATACCTAGGATATCAATCATCATGCATTGCATTTAAATTTGACCACTTCCAATTTTCCTAAGTTCATACTTCACATATTCCAAATTGCAATCATCACAAGATTTTTGCAGCTGTTTTGAGTCATGCCCCATCAGCAAATGAATATTCCGAAGGCTATCCTCTTACAGCTATGTCTGACGCACGTCCCCATCACTGACTCTTCTCCAAGAAATCAGCGCTTCTTCAGTCACATTTCGAGTGCCCTCGAACCTGAGGGGCCCATCTGCCGCACTATCTCTGAAAATGTTCTGCTTCTTTTGTTCAGTCTTAATAGTATTTGAAAACGCTTCAAAGCTCTGTGTAGGTTTTCAGCAGCTTCTTCCTTAGAAGTGGGATGCCAAAACCTTCTTCATTGTCTATTCTTAGTCTGGAAGGTCTGCTGAAACCTGTTCACTTTGGGTGACCCTGCTGGCATTTGAAAGACTAGTGACATAGCTTCCAGCATCAAAGCAACACACATGCCACCACAGTTCAACACACTGACAAGTGGTGACCTTAGTACATGAACCCCATGCAGATCTCCACATCTAACACACAGTAGACATACCGTACATATTTGCTGAATGATAAAACTTAGCCCTGAGGTTTAAGTAACTTTCATTTTCCAAAAATATCTTCAAGAAAAAAATGAATGAGATGATTACAATGAAGCTTATAGTATTTCATACAAGCCGCTGACTCACTCACTCACTGCCATCAAGTCAATGCCGGTGCATGTGAGCCTGTGACTGTTTACGGTGAGGGGCCGTTAATGGTTTAGAGCTGCTGACCCTGCAGATCTTGGTGCAACACCTGACCACTACACCTCCAGGGCTCCTTTTTATACAAGAAAGACAATAAATCTTCATTAACAAGAAATTGTCAACTACTAAGTTGAGATAATTACCTCCATCCAGAGATTTCCAAAAGCAATTTTCATTTCAATCTCTAATATTGAAGATAAAGCCATTCCAAGAGACTTTTCCAGCTCAGCTATGATGCTTCCAAGGACAACAGATAGTCCAGAACTTGTGGGTTCCTCTTCAGGTCTCTTTTTCACGGATGTTGCTTTTGAAAGTCAAATAGTTACAGGATTTATTCAGGGGACTATTATTAAATATTTTACATGTAAAATTAGTATTTGGCTATAGAAGTATTTCAATATGTAATTCAGATCTTAAATAACTAGTCCTTTCTTTTAAAAACAGTATTAGGGAGCATTCGGGAACCCTCATGGTGTAGTAGTTATGTATTAGACTGCTAACGGCAAGAAACAAGAATTTCTATAGAGTTTCACTTGCAGCATCAATATGTTACTTTAGTAAACCCTCTATCTCTTCTGTAAAGCACTTCAAATTAATGCATGATATTAAAATAAATGTGATTTTTAACTAAATTTTAGTGTTGCTATTATAAAAAAATTACAAGAATGGTTTAGATTCGTTTACAACAGAAATTATGGACTAATAACTACAGATCAAGAAGTAGTTTCCTCCCCCAAATAATATATTCTTGTAATCTCAGCAAACATCTATAAATTATTTTTAAAGGCCCCAATCTCTGGCTTAACCACCTTTACACTTGTCCCTTAAAAAGCAACAGCTTTTATTATTGTAAGTTGTTCAATTTAATTAACAATATTATTTTGATACCAGATAAATAGCTGCAATCTGTATGGCAAAGAACAAAATATTACATAGCTTATCACCATAAAAGTAAACTAATGGTTTAAATAGCAATAATACAGTATAATTGGCAAGCCAAAAGCACAGTACTTCTAGAAATTAATAAACTAGAGTATTGTGTTACTCTTTCTAAATGCCATTTGAATATTCTGACAATAGATATTTCATCACTGAAGAGGGCAAATGAAGTAGCATTTATATATATATATGGCTACCAAAAACAACTATGGTAGAGTTGACTCCAACTGACAGTGATGCTATGGCATACCAGGATAGAACAGAACTGCTCCATACGGTTTCAGAGGCAAGAACTTCTTCCAGCCTCCACTATCTACTACAGAATGGCTGGTGGGTCCCAGGGATCACTTCATTAGCAGCCTAACACTTAGCCCACTGTGCCACCAGGGCTGCTTAATATGTAGGCCCTTGCAAACAAACAAAAGTACGTGACACTAGAGGCTTCAGTAATTCTTCCCACACAAAGGAAACTGGGAGCTTTTCAAATGGTATCAGGTTTGATGTACTATTCCATCACATAAGAGCATTCAATAGAAAAGAAAATAAATAATGCTAGTGCCTTTGTCTAAATTATCATTAAAAAAATAAATAATAGGTTATAAACATGAAACCAAAAATTATCTCCATCTCAAATGAGCATTTCCTATAGCTACTATTATTTTAAGTTTTATTCAGCATTGTAAAAGGCAACATGCATATATTAATTATAAAATGTAAAAATGTATATGAACAAATGAGCAAAATTTCAATCTAATTTGTAAAAGTACACATTGGAGGCAATAATGTTAATTGTTTTTTATTATCATTGTAATTTTCATTTATTTTTCTCTTTACAAGCCAGATATTCCAAACTTACTATTTTTAATACAAAAGGAAGAATGTTACTAATTCTAAATGTTACCAATATTAGTGAATACAGTAAGACAAATATCTAATTATTCACAGTAAGAATACTACCTTTCAATTGCGGCTTAGAAACACAAGGCTGACGACACCCATCTGTGACCATAAATAAGTTTAATAACTCTGAATTCAATTCTTCTTTACTGAGTGACTTCACACCACTTATAAGACCCTTGTTTCTTAAATTTCTATCATCCCTAAAGTTGGGAGGGTTTGGAGAAAAAAATATTTTTATTATAAGATAAACCAGATGGAAACAATACACATAACTAATCAGAAAGTATTGATACTTTGTTTACAAATTTAGAAAACATAACAATTTATGAAATAGAGAAAATAAAGGAATTAGCATACAGTATGCTCACAGGAGGTTTGGGGAACAGTAACAGTTAACACTTACTGCGTGTTTTCCTGGTCTGAGGCACTGTTCTAAGCAATAATCTATTAATTCTCACAACAAATTTCTGAGATTAAGATGTGAATTTTTTTCCCATTTCACAGACAGGAAACCTGAAGTATAAGTGATGTGAAATAACTCATCTAAAGTTACACTTGATATGTGGGAGCTGGATAAGAATACAGAAAACAGGTTCAGAGAGCCAACTCTAAGAGAATTAATTCACAGAGCAGGCAATCTCAAAATTCCTTCACTGAGCATAACATAAATTGTTTGAATTTAAGGTTAAAATAAAAAAAGTCAGTCTGAGTATAGCACAGTGCATAAGACTACCTTATGAGCTTACAGAGAAATAGGCATTAATAAATGGAAAGATATTTAAAGTGTTGAATGGGGGGGAAGTGACATGATCATGTATCTGTTTATTAAATTATTATTTTAGAGTCTAGCAAACTTCAATGTCTTTGTTAATGGAAGAGTAGTTTATGAGACTAACATTCCCGTAGATCACAACATGGACAAAAATTTAAAATAAGCATCAACTGTAAGTGAAAATTACCTTCAAGACACACAAACTCCCCGGATGAGAACTGTTCAAACATGACATCGTGTTTCACAGAGCAAAGGATGCCTCAGAGAAAAGCAAACAGGAAAGACCCAAGAAGAAAGCCATAACCTTTTATAACCTAATCCCAGAAGTGATACATCACCACTTCTGGTGTTGGAAGAGACTGCAGAAGAACAGGAATATCAGAGAAGCGGCTCCTTGAGGGCCCTCTTGCAGGCTGGGGTGATTGTTAGCTGCTGCCAAGTCAACCTCAATTCACAGCAACCCCAACTGACTGAGCAGAATTGCCCAAAAGAGTTTCTAGGCTCTGATCTTTACAGGCTTCAATAACCAGGTCTTTTTCCTACAGGCTGGCTGCATTGGCTTGAACTGCTATCTTTTCCATTGGTAACAGAACGCTCAATTATTCCATCACTGAAGATCCTAGAGGCTGGTTACTATAATAAAACTCTATAACTACAGAACGACAAAAGAGAAAATGAAGTAAAAGAAATAAAGACCGAGAATTCTCCAAAATTAAAGGTAGGCACCAAACTATAAATTCAAGAAGCTCAAAGCACGCAATGTGGGATAAAGCCCTCCTCCTCCCAAGGCCCCCCCCCACAATAAAAAAAGCAAAGCACCTAAGCACGTTCTTGCCAAATAGCAAAATACTATTTTTAAAGTACACTGTGATCAAGTAAGGTTTTTAAAAGAGGTATAAAATAAGTGAAAATGGTAATCGCATATCACTAAAAACACAGAAATACGCTAGAGACGGGGAAAAGCAAAAACAAATGGAATAGAAAACAAGGAGCGAAATGTCTAATGTTGATATGGTCTATACATATAGAGGTCAGAAATTTTCAGATAGGATAATAAAGAAGCAACTATATGCTGCCTATTAAAAAACCTACTTTAAATATAAAGACATCAGAGGTCAAAAGTAAAAGGATGAAAAAATACACTCCATATAAACTCAAGCCAAAGAAAGACTAGCTATGGCCACTGCTCCCCAGGTGATTCCATCATCTCATAGTAACCCTATAGTACGGAGTAGAACTGCCGCAAGACTGCACGATTATGAATCTTACACGGCTTCCAAGATTGCAAATCTTTATGGAAGCATACGGCCTCATCTTCTGTCCCCCTCCATCCCTCGGCCCACCCCCCACCAAAGGCAGCTATAGGGTTTGAACCATCAACCTTTTGGTTAGCTTAACACACCAAACCATCAAGAACCCCCGTACTAGCTAAATCCAAAGCCACTGCCATCCAGACGATTCTAACTCAGAGCAACCTTATAGGAAAGACGAGAACTGCCCCACAGGGTGTCCAGGGCTGTCAATAATCACAGAAGTCAACAGTCTCATCTTCAACAGAGTGACACATGAGTTTGAATGGCCAACCTTTCAGGTCTCTCAGCTCAACACTTTAACCCGACATGCCTCCAGGGCCTCTTGGATTAGCTGCAGTAACACCATATAAAGAAGACTACAGAATCAGGAGTATCAACATAGAGGGCAATTATATAAGGAAAATAGATTAATTTCCCATGAAGACAATCATAAGCAATCCAGAGTAGATTACAAAATAGAACTGACAGAACTAGATAAATCCACAATTACATCTCAAGATTTTAGCTCTCTTTTCTTAATAATCAAAAAATAAGGGGAAAATCAGTACAAATATGAGACCTAAATCTTGACCCCCAATATATACATTCTTTTGAAGTATTCATCTAGGCCACATAACAAACTGTTGAGAAATTTAAAAGACTGTAAGAGCCACCAATAAAATGATTTAAAAATTTTTTTGAAAGAGCAGAAATCAAAGAATGTATCCTCAGGCCAACAAATAATTAAACCACCAATCAACGACAGGGAATTATCTGGTTAATTTACAAGCAAGTGGAGTTAAGCAATAAATGTATAACTCACACATATATATTGAACTGAATAAAAGTCAAAATACAAAGTACCAAAATTCATAAGGTACAAGGAAAGTCATGCTTAGAGAACATTTATAATAAACTCAAATCGATAACTTAAGCGTCTATCTTAAAAAACAGAAAATGCATGGAGGATGCAAGAGCGCTTTCTGGGATAAGGGAAGTGTTTCTATATATTGAGAAGGCCATGGGACGCCCAGGTGTATCCATTCTCAACACCGTACAATTAAGATTTGAGTATGCCATGTTATGTTTTTTTCCCCCTGAAAATACATGGATCTGCATGAAAATAATCAAGCGAAAGAGGCAGAATCCTAAAAAGTGTTTTAGTTTGGTGCTTAGGGCTTTATTAGGTCTTCTATTCAATTTGGTTATTATTGAAATTTCCTGTAATAAATATTTACCAAAAATTAAAAATCACCAGTCTCGCTTTTTGAGAATAAATGAAGAACAATCAGTGTGAAAGTAGATACCATATTTTTCCTAGAGATGTTCAAAAAAACATAATTCAGCTTGATACGGGGTGGTGACGGAAGGAGCAGAGACGACCACACAGTTTGAGGAATAGAATCAGCTGGACTTGCTAATTTACTGGATACACATGAGGGAAGCCAGGGAAAAAAATGACTCCCAGGTTTCTAGCTTTAGCAAATAGGTAGAAGGTGCCACTTATTATTCAGACCAAGAACAGTTCAGTTTCAGGGAAAATCAAGAGTTTGCCTTTGGAGATGATAGGATTCGAGGTCTATGAAACATCCAAGTACAGATAGATATAAGTGGTTAAGATACCAGTCTCCAGCTCAGAGGAGAGAGATGGATTCAAGATAGAGTAACCACAAGACTATCACCCTGAGACACCTTTAAACTTAGCACCATGTTCTAGGTACTATTTCATGCTTCTAATCATCTAATATATGTCATCTAATTTAATACACACAATAACCTCATAAGGCAGGTATTGCTATTCTTACTATTTTTTCCTCACGAGGAAACGAAGCATCTTGTCCAAAGTTACAAAGTTGGCAAATGGTAGAGACAAGACTACACCCAGGCTGTCTAATTTACAGCAGACTCCTAGAACACAACCACAACACAAACTATCACCCTCTCTAAAAAAAATAATTCCTTGCCATATGACAAGGGTCAGATTTTGACTTCAGCATGGTTTTATCAGGATTGACTTCCCCAACTTTTCCAACAATTCTCTAATTATTCAATGAATGAAGTTGAAGCTTTGGCCTCACCGATTTTAGATGTAGATCTCATTCCTGTATACGTCATACAATGTAATAGCAATACAATTGAATATGCTCCCTAGACTTAGAAAAGTATATGAGGGGGCTTCAAAAAGTTTGTGGAAAGGCTCCATTATCTTTTACTTACACTTTTAACCAATTTAAAAAAAAAGCTTTTTGTGAATTGCGTGAAGTTCCAATGAGCAGATCAGTTTCCCATTCAACAATTCATACCCACTTTGTTTCATCTCCTTCACTGCAAATCTCTCCATGCACAATTACTTCCTGTTTCCATTCTCCTTCTTTCTTTACACTTCTGAACTTTACCCTTGGGCAAATACTGCCCTTTTTGATTATTCTAAGGGGTGCATACCTCCTTAATGTTTCCCTGACAGAGCTGTCTATGGCAAGGCTGAAAATTGAGCTATGGAGAGACATTCATTTCTAGACCTGAAAGGTGACTAAAGAGCAGGGTCGAGAGCTCTGTCTCCAACTGACCAGTAATCCTAGCTTTTTTAATGATTTTGAGATTTGTTCCACATTTTTCTACCACTCAATCCAGGACCTTCCATTATGATCCTTTAAAGGGCTGTAGGTAGTGGTTGCTGATCAAAAACTAGTCCTCCTGGGTCTCAAAGTCATGTAGAAAGATGCTCTTATGGACCATTAGTCCATCAGACATATGACGTCCATGTCCTCCAGTTTTTATCCCTCTTTTCCTCCAGATGGGAAGCGATCAATTGTTATACCTTAGATGGCCACGCATGAACTTTTAAGACCCCAGTCGCTACCCACCCAACAGGATGTAGCACTGTCTTTGTAGAATAAGTTATGCCAATTGATTCTGATGTTCCTTGAGATCATGGTCCTGAGCCCCCAAGTCCTGTTCCATGAATGTTTTGAAGTCCCCTCATATGTGTGCTGATATGTTGGATATAATATGATTTTTGAAATTACTTTGGAGTAAGCTGATACAGCTAAAAGATGAACCAAAAGAATGAAATGACTTTGAAACTCACGTGCATAGAATAACTTGAGAACAAGGGAACAATTCCTGGTACTGAAGACAGCATTTTAATACTCGATCATCATTATTCTCATCACTCAATCCATCTGTAAAATTAGCAAAACAACTATTAACAGGCAAGTGGAATCTGCAACTATCCCAAGTAGAATTTTCAATGTATTTACAAATGAAAAATATCTAAAAGGAAAGAAAAAAACTTTTTAAATAAAATGAGAAAAATTTGACAAAGCAACGCAATGTGTTTCAAACTCTGAATTTGTGGATTTAATTACGTACTAAGCCTTACTTCTGAAATGAAGCAGTTTGAAAATTAAATAGTTCTGAACTCTTTAAAGCGAAAAAAATGTAGTCAGTAGATGAGAAACTAGAACCTAAAAGCTGCAAGGTTCAAGGTTTTTATTTTAGTACAGAGATTTATTTTTATTTCTTTTATTTTAATGCAAGTTCAGGTTTAAATACATATAATTGGGCGGTGCTTAAAACTGCCTCTATATACTATCATTAATATAACCTGGTTCTTGTGTCTGCTGTTCCTTAATCTCTAAATCAATAAAAATTTAAAATGCAGACACAGTAAAATGGACTCTTGTAAGAGAACAAAAATAATTTATAGAATTTTCCAAGCCTTAATGCCCTTAGGAGCCCCGTAGTGCATTGTTTATGCATTGGGCTGCTAACCACGCAATCAACTGTTCGAAGCCGCCAGCTGTCCTACAGGACAAAGGTGAGGCTTTCTTCTCCAGCAGAACAAACTGTAGTCTCAGAAGCCCACCGGCACAGATCTACCCTGCCCTACAGGGTCCCCATGAGTCAAATCAACTTGCTGGCAGTGAGTCTGATCCTTTTTATTTTTAGTACATTTTAGTAAAAGTTCAATTTTTGTGAAAATAATGTCTTTCTTGTAGATCCTCATACTATCTTCCTTAGAAGCACTTAAGGCATTTGAATCTACAGAACTTTATGGATTACTTGGCAATGAGCCTGGATCTCAACTTTGTTCCCAGTTTACTCTATTTTCCATCTCAGATTTTAGCCCCTGTTACACAACTCATTTCTCTTACCATTCAATTTAGAAAACTCAGCCACTCAACCAACATATTTAAAAAGAAGCTAATGTGTGCCATGTCCATGGGCTAATCAAGCAGAGATGCAAAGACAAACTCTTCAGGAGTCTCTAGTAACTCAAACTCACTGCCATCGCGTCAATTCTGACTCATAAGAAGGTTACGATTAGAAACGCCACCTGTGGGTTTCCAGAGACTACACATCTTTTTTTTTTAATCATTTAATTGGGGCTCATACAATTCAGCACAATCCATACATACATCAATTCTGTAAAGCACATTTATACACTTGTTGCCCTCATCATTCTCAAAATTCACTTTCCTCTTGGGTTCCTGGAATTAGCTCATTTTCCTTTTTCCCTTCCCTCTCCCTCCCCGCGCCCCCCTCCCTCATGAACCCTTGATAATTTATAAATTATTATTATATTTTATCTTACACTGCCCGGTGTCTCCCTTCACCCACCCTTCTGTTGCCCATCCCCCAGAGAGAAGGTTATATGTAGATCCTTGTGATCGTTTCCCCCTTTCTCCCCACCCCTCCCCTCCTGGTATCACCACTGTCACCGCTGGTCCTGAGGGGTTCATCCCTGTGTTTCCAGTTCCCATCTGTACTGCTGTGCATCCTCTGGTCTAACCAGGTCTGCAAGGTAGAATTGGGATCCTGGTAGTTGGGGGGAGGAAGCGCTTAAGAACTAGAGGAAGGTTGTGAGTTTCATTATTGCTATACTGAACCCTGAGTGACTCATCTCCTCCCCACTACCCCTCTGCAAGGGATGTCCAGTTGTCCACAGATGACTACACATCTTTATGGGAGCAGAAAGCCTCCTACTTCCCCTACAGAGAGGCTGGTGGGTTTGACCTGCTGACCATGTGGTTAGCAGCCCAACACATAACCTACTATGCCACCAGAGCTCCTAAGAGTCTTTAATCAACAACTCCCTGCCAAAGTCAATTTTGACTCATACCAACCCTATGGACAGGGTAGAAATGTGGTGGGCTTCTGAGACTATATAACCCAGAAAAGGAGTAGAAAGCCTCACCTTTCTGCCACAGAGAGGCTGGTGGTTTTAAACTGTTAGCTTCATGGTTAGCAGCCCAATACATAACCCATCACACTACCAGAACTCCTTAGAAGCTCTAATGGGGAAGTCTAAACAGAATTCAAGTGATGAGCCTGAGAGAGTTGTACCCGAGAACCTTAATCAGATGACTTACATATGAGGGGGTATCTAAAAAAATCGGATTTTTTTTTTAATCAAAGCTATGTATTCTAAGTTTTTTTTACAAAACAACCTTATCACTTTCAAAATAATCTCCATTATACTTACCATATATACTAGTGTATAAGCCAAGTTTTTGAGCATTTTTAATGCAGTTTTTGTGGTAAAATTAATTGCCTTGGCTGAGATTTGGGACAGCTTATATTAGAGTATATAAGGTAATACATTTGTCAAATCTGTGATTCCATTCTTGGAAACATTTTTCAAACTCATTTGTTTGGATAGCTGATAAGACCTCCCTCATTTTTTTTCTTCACCTCTTCTACATCATCCAATCACTGTACTTTCATGTCCTTCTTCATTCATGTGACTTTGCACAGAGCAAAGTCAGGTGAGTAAGGTACATAAGGCATGAGAGGCATGCGGTTTTTTAACGAAAAACTGGTGCACTGAGATGGCTACATGAGCAGGTTTCATTATTGAAGTGGTAAAACCAGTCCCTTTTTCTGGCACAAATCAGGCCTTTGTCACACACTGTTAAAATGCTATCTTTTCAGAACCTCCAAACCAGTGGCTCTCAATCTTCCTAATGCCGTGACCCTTTAATACAGTTCATCATGATGTGGTGACCCCCAACCATGAAATTACTTTCATTGATTGCTGCTTCATAACCGCAATTTTGCTGTTATGAATCATAATGTAAATATCTGATATTCAGGATGCATTTTCATTGGTACAAATTGAACATAATTAATTAAACATAATTAAAGCACAGTGATTAATCACAAAACTACGTAATTATAGTGTGAAATATTTATGTGTTTTCCGATGGTCTTAGGCGACCCCTGTGAAAGGGTCCTTTGACCCCCTAAGGGGTCTAACCCAGTTGGGAACCACTGCTTAAACAGTGGTTTGATTAATAGTCTGCTCTGGTAGAATGGCTTAATGGTTTAAACAGTGGTTTGATTAATAGTCTGCTCTGGTAAAATGGTTTAATGGTTTAAACAGTGGTTTGATTAATAGTCTGCTCTGGTAGAATGGTTTGATTAATAATCTGCTCTGGTATAACCACTGCTTTAAACAGTGCTTGATTAATAGTCTGCTCTGGTAGAATGAACTCCATATGCACTATCCCACCTCACATCAAAAAAACAAATGAGCCTCCTCTTGATCTTTGATTTCACTTCATGAGCTTTTGAGGGGCAAGGTTAACGATGGCGTCTTCGACTGGATTGAATAATGTTCTGGACTGTAAAAATAGCACCATGTCTCATCACCGGTAATGATCTTGGGAAAAAGCCTGGGTTGCTTCAGAGCTATTCTTTCAAAGTCTAGCATGCTTCCACTCAATGCTCTTTTTCCTGGTCAATTAGAACCCAAGGCACAAATTTCACGACCCTTCTCATTGTATTAGTTCATAGAGACTAGAGAAACAAATCCAGGGAGACTTATGTGTATAAGAAAGAGCTTTATATAAAAGAGTAATTGTATATTAAGAAAATATTGCAGCCCATTCCAGATCAATTCCTTGAGTCCAATATTTGCCCAGATGTCCGATACACCTCTGTAAATTCCTCTTTAGACTCATGCAATACAAGCAATGATGCCGAGTGCAGGAAGATCACAGGCCAGTGAGTGGAAAGTCTTGTGGAAAAGCATTTAAGCACCAGCGTGGGTCTCTGCGTGGCCCCTCCAGCTCCTGGGGCCCTGGCTGCCAACAGCGTAGCTCTGTGTGTCTTCTGAGCAGGAATGTCTCACATGGAGATGAAGCAGAGAGAGACTGTATGTCCCACCTCCAGGGAAAAAGGCAAGTTCCAGAATCCTCAGGAGAAGGCCATGCCCACACAGAGGCCTCATTGGCTATGAACTGATTGACAGGCTAGACTCCACCCCTTCACAAGTTGACAACAGAGATTATGTAACTGCCACACAGTCCCACATCTTTGGTTAAAATTCACTGAATCCATGTGCAAGATAGTCCAGATAACCTCCCCGTTTCTTCAGTTGTCCGTTGCTGGTCTACGAGTACAAGTGCATGAATTTTGAGAACCTTTTCATCTGTTCAGGAAACTGACGGACATCCAGAAAAAGGTTTGTGATCAATTGTCATTTCACCTTTTTTGAAACAAGAAATCCACTCGTACACTTGAGTTTTTCCCATAGCACTGTCCTTGTATGCTGTGTTCTACATCAATACAGTTTCTGTGTCATTTTTCCCCAGAGCAGGAAACAAAATTTCACAGCCACAAGCTGTTCTCTTAAATTGGCCAACAAAAAAACGAGGTTTGAGTGAAAATGTTTTTATAAAAAAATTCTTTTGTGTAGTTCTAGCTGGGCATTTGGTTGAAATCACAGACTGGCTCAAAGAATCCTAGAAAGTCATTCCGTATCATATGCAATTAAGAATGCACAAAGATCACAAGGCATCTGGAACTGCCATCCCATCAGAAACTGTTGAAACGTAAATATCTTCTTGAATTAAAATATATTCAAGTTGATTCACAGTCAAAAAAAAAAAATTCACTGTGACCAGACAGACCCTTTCCAGGTGATGCCGCTGGGAACACTAACACAAAGAGAGTTGCTCTATGCTCACCTAGCGGAAAAATGCATATTACTAAAAAGCTTTCCCTAGCGGAGCTTTTTCCGTTTGGGTAGAGTACCCCCTCATAGTATTGGTTTTCCTTCTTCCAGCTCAGAGAGTAAATTATAACAAAATAACTACTCAAAACTTTAGTTAAATTTAAACAATTCAATTCAGCATACAAAAGGAGGCATAAAGGTAACAGTACACTGCTCAAA